AGTGACACCCTGTCTCAAAATTTTTTAAAGAAGGGGAAGGGCTGGAGATGTAGTTCAGTGGTAAAGTATCCCTAGGTTAAATTACCAGAACCAAAAAAAAGGTAACTGGATGAAGAAAATAATCATCATTCAAATAAAGACCAAACAAGATATTTTAATATAAGAAAAAGGTTTTTTGGCAAATAGCATTACTAGAAATAAAAATGGTCTCTGCCTACTGTTGAATTCACTAGCAAATTAACAATTATATATTTATATGCATCCAACTGTACTGTCTCAAAATACAAAAAGCTAAAAATTAACTGAATTATAAAAACTAGGCAAATCATCATTCATATTGGGAGATCTTAAATTTAATAATAATTTATAAAACAAGCACACAAAAAATTATTTTAATAATAATTAACATAATTATTAAAAATCCCCTAGTCTGAGAGTACAGCAGAGATAAAGAGCTTAGCAAGTATGAGGACCTGCGTTGGAGCACTAGCATCACTAACAGAAAAATAAAAAAATAAAATTTCCTGATAGTTCAACATTGATAATCATATCAGAGTTTGGTTCTGCCCTTTGCTTCTATAGTTATTCTGTGCCCTCCCCACAAGGGGGAAAAAAATTCAAATGAATCCAATTTAACCTCTACATTCAATTACCAATTTACAGAAAAATACAGAGGACACAAGTATATTAAAATATTATATCAAAAAAGAACTCAAATATTATGTATAACTGAAATGCACTAATAAAAACAAAACTAAAAAAAAAACCTCACAAAATACCACTATATACCCACTATATACCACTATGCACTCATCAGAATAGCTAAACTTAAAAAGACTGACAATATCATGTGTTGATAAGAATGTGGAGTAACTGGAATTTTCCTATATTACTGGTGGAAAAATAAAATAATAAAACCATTTTATTAAAAAAATAATAATAAAAAAATATACAAACATTTTATACACACACACACACATATATATATATATATATATATATATATATATATATATATATATATATATATACACACTGTCATATTTCTCAGTGCCTCAGAAGGCTAAGGCAGGAGGAAGAAAAGTTTGAGGCCAGGGCTGGGGAATAGCTCAGTGGTAGAACACTTGCCTAGTCCTGGGTTCAATCCTTAGCACCACAAAAAAAAAAAAAGGTTGAGTAGGTTAAAAGTTTAAAGCCAGCCTCAGCAACATGGTGAGACCCTGTCTCCAAAGGAAAAAAAAAATTTATATATACACATACATACACACACACACACACACACACACTATATTTTGTATTTTATTTAGAGACAGGGTCTGAGTTGTGCCTTTGCTAAGGCTGGCTTTGAACTCTCTATCCTCCTGACTCAGCCTATATATATATATATATGTATGTATATATATATATATTATATATATGTATATATATATATATATATATATAGAGAGAGAGAGAGAGAGAGAGAGAGAGAGAGCGTGCGCGCACACGTGCACGTGCTGAGGATGTAGCTCAGTGGTAAAAACATCCTGGGTTCAACCCTTAGTACTGGGGGAAAAAAAAATACAGAGGAATGTAATCAGTAAAATACAAATTGTGGAAAGTGCCACAAGACAAATAATTCTCTAGTAATTCATTTCAAGGGAACCTACATATTAAAAGAAATCTACACCACTTTTCTACACGCATGGTAATTGGTGGGTCTGCTTCTGCTCCACACTCTTTGCAGTTAGGGCAATTAGTCAGCCCAATTTATTTAGTTTCTTGGAAAAAAATCAGCCTATGCAATCACCCTAAGTGCTGTTGATTCAAATCTGGTTACTTTTGGAAGGGCAACAAAAGCTTTGGCAGTCTGGTCTTCAAAAACAGTATTCTTCCTCACCATGTGTTACTATATGGCTTATGGTTAACAGGAAAACCACTCATATGCATAACCTATAAAGAATATTACAGTTTCCAGGTAAAGAGTAGAACAACAGAAATACATCAAGATTTGGAGTAAAAAACAAAAAGAAAATCCTGATTCTATGAGACATGTAAGGACTACAACAAATCACATTATTCTCTCTATCCAATGTTCCTCACTTGTAAGTAGAGACAGAATTGCACACATTGTGGGAATCAAAGGAGATAATGAATTCCACAGTATAAAGAAGATATCTCTTTACTATTCAGATACTTGGATCTTTAAGGTGTGCTGACTGACAGGCTTGCTCCCACAGGTATAGCCTCATATACTTGTAGAACCATAACAGAATATGTTGCCAGGCACAGTAGTACATTCCTGCAATCCCAGTGACTGAAGAGACTGAGGCAGGAGGATCACAAGTTCAAGGCCAGCCTGGGAACTTTGCGAGATCATGTCTAAAACTGAAAAAGGGCTTGAGAAGTAGTTCAGTGGTAGAGAGTCCCTAGGTTCAATCCCAGTACTGGGGCATGGAGCGGGGCGGGGGCGGGGGAATCCTCAAAATATATTAGAAAATTAAATCCAACAATGTATACAAGCAATATACCATATAAACACCATGAACAAGTGGGGTTTATCCCAGGAATACAAATATGGTTTAATTTCCCCCAAAAAAAGTTTTTTTGTGGGGGGGGGGGGGACAGTGGGGACAAGATCTTACTGTGTTGCCCAATCCTCTTGCCTCAGCCTCTCGGTTTGTGTCCAGCTAATGGAAGAAAGAACAGGGGACAGGAAGTGCAATAACCCCCTCAGCATGGTAAAAGGTTAATGGAAGTATTCTTTCTTCCTTTCTGCTGTAGGCTGGGCAGGTTGCTGTACAAGCACGTTGTTCATAAAACCTGGGAAGATGGTGCTGGTCCTAGCCACACATTACTTCAGACACAAAGCTGTCATTGTAAAGAACATTGATGATGGCACATCAGACTATCCCTACAGTCATGCTCTGGTGGCTAGACAGCTGCCTCGGGCAAGAAGAAAACTGTCAAAAGGTCAAAGATCAAGAGAATCTTAATTTAGGCTGAAAGTGACCAAACAAAAGCAGAAGAAAGATAAAAGAGTCAGCCAATCTTGATGTAATAACCTTTAACCTCAGGAAAATCATCCTCACTTCTATTTATAATTAGATTTTCTTTTAATGTATGTGGGTATGTATATGGTGTTAGGGATTGAACCCAAGCCCTTGCACATGCTAAGCAAGTGCTCTATCACTGAGCTATATCCCCAACCTCAAAATTATAATTTTAATTATGGATACTTCCACATGCTTGAAATATTTTTTGACTATGACATAATGTGTGAAATGTGCATCACAGTATAGATGAAAAGCTCAAAATATCAATGAAAAAAAATTCCTTGCCCATATTTTCTATCTAATCACTCATGATTTAAGAATTTTTATTGTTTATTATTTTTACACTCAAAATGCTAAAAATCTTTATATGGAACCGTAATTTCAGTTACCTTTTTGGTCATGTTGTATCACTCACCTGGAATCAACCTTCTTCTCCATTCTCTCCTTAATTTCTTCTGATAAAAAATTCAACCAGTGGCTTGATATATACTTCTTAATTAGCAGAATACTCATGAATCAGTTTTTTATATTCCCCATCTAACTACAAAAGAAAGACCAATAAAAAGACTAAATTATCTGCAAATTCATGGGAATCAACATGTCTGAACAGCTACCTACTAGATGCTAGTCTCCCACCCGTCTCCTTAATTCAACACTAGGTGAGCACGGAAAAATCTCAGACTTAAAAACACCGTTTACAAACATTAAAACACCCCTGGGGTTCAATCCCCAGTAACCCCCCCCCAAAAAAAAAGTCTTCTGATAGGTGTTTTGGGTTTGTTTTTGTTTTTTTAGTACCAGGAATTGAACTCAGGGGCACTTAACCACTGAGCCACATCTTCAGCCCTATTTTGTATTTTATTTAGAGACAGGGTCGCACTGAATTGCTTGGGGCCTCACTAAGTTGCTGAGGCTAGCTTTGAACTTGAGATCCTCCTGTCTCAGCCTGCGGAGTGGCTGAGATTACAGGTGTGTGCCACCATGTCCATTCATCTTCAGGTAGGTTTTTATCAGCAGTAGATACTTAATGTGCAGTTTTCATTTTCAATTTGTAATCACTTCTACCAAAAGCATTCATTATAAACTGAATAAACAAAATGCTTTTTATTTCTTAGTACAAAGAATGGGTTATGGGTTGAATTAGGTTCCCCAAAATGCTGATATCCCAAACCCCAATATCTGTGAATGTGACTATATAACAGGGTCTTTGCAGGTGTAAGAGATATATGAACTCATACTAATTTATAGCTTAATTTAAGAGTAGAGTAGGCCCTTAATGCACTATGACTGGTGTCCTTATAAAAAAAGAAGAGACAAAGAACAGATATACTTAAAAGAGGAGAATTCTATTCGATGAAGAAGGTAGAGACTGGAGTAATGTGCCTACAAGCCAGGGAAGTTACTATCAGAAGCTAACAGAAAAACAGAAGAGTTCCCCTAGGCTTCAGAGAAAGGACAACACCTTGATTTCTGGTTTCTGGCCTCCAGAACTGTGAGAGAATCAACTTCTGTTTTATTTTATTTATTTATTTTTGTATGTAGTGGGAATTGACCCAGGGGTGCTCTACCACTGAGCTATATCCACAGTCTTTTTTATTTTTTATTTTGAGATAGGGTCTCACGGTTGCCCAGGCTAGCCTCAAACTTACAATCATCCTGCCTCAGCCTTCTGGGTCACTGGAATTATAGGCATATGCCACCATGCCCAACAATTTCTGTTGTTTTAAACCACCCAGTTTGTCCTAGCTGGTTACAACAGCCCTAGGAAACAAATGTAAGAAGTCAAGACTGAGAACTAAGATTTCAGTATATAGTGGAGGCTACCTAAAATGGTTACCATGTCTTACACTTAGTAACTTTGATGGATTTATAGTAAGATATCAAAAAATTACCCAGAAAGAAGTTTACCCATACAAGAACAGTCTTTACTGACATCAAACCTGATGTCTTCCCTTTCCCCTGCAGCCTCTGCCCGGAGTAGTATCTGCTGCACAGCTCCAGACACGTGCAGAGTGGCCAGCTATGGACTTAAGGCAGATGTGACTCCAGGTGTGCATGGTCACCAGACACTGGATCTTGGAAGACCGCCATTAAAGCCTCACTTTTGTACTTCCTGTCTCTGAGTCCATTCTTTGGGACTAGGCAACAGGATGACTTGAAATTAGGACATTCTTCACTCTCCAGAAGAGAAGAAATAGTGACAGGTGAACAGTGTATACGTGGAGTTTTCAGATAACTTCACCTGAATGAGAAATCTGTCTTCATCAGGACCTCAGACATCTGACAGTTTTGTGGCACACCAAGATAACAAATTTATATCCTGATGTCTTAAGAAGATGAAGTAAAACATTCAAGTAGTTTTCGGTGCGGTTTTTTTGTTTTTTAAATCCCTTTCTCTTTTTATTCTTTTCACATGCTTCAATAGACACTGGAATTAGATTGGCAGGTTTATTGCTCTATGAATATCCAAGCTGCTAACTGTCATAGGTAGCAATCAACACAAGTACTGGCCAAAAAACAAAACAAAACCTATGTTCTACTGTTTCTTCTCTCTCTCTCTCTCTCTCTCAAGTCTAACTAAGTTGCTTAGGTCCTCACAAAGTTGCTGAGTCTGGCTTTGAACTTGCAATTCTGCCTTAGCCTCCAAATCATTGAGATTATAGGTATGTACCACTGTGCTCAGCTGACCTAGTGTTTCTGATGCCACACTCCAAGTAACAATGACAACCTTTAGTGACTATATCTGAAAATTAACTAAATTGAAGTATTCAAATAGGGAATTGTGAAATATTGCTATAATAAATGGGCCACATTGCCTTGGGTTGATGTCTTAATGATTATGTGCAATGTCCACTGTGGTCAAAGGAGTCTCTTTAGTTAGACCAACATTCTAACTACTTGTATGTGTCTGCCTTCTCCACATTAAAAATACAGACTCCATGAAAACAATAATTGTATCTGACAATAATCCTATCTGATCTTGTCTCCATTATATCTCCAGCATCTAAATTAATGTCTGGAATCTCACAGGTGAGATACACAAACATGGAAAAAGACTAAGGCATAAGTCTATCCTCAATAGAGACACTTATGAACTTACTCTGTAAGTTGAAAAACACATAATGATAATTAGGCAAGGATTATTCCCAGTTACACATGACCTCCTAAAATGATAGTGAAGGATAAATTTGATTCAGCCAACTCAATGTCTAAGTATATGCCAAAGAGAACTAAAAATATGTCCACACAAATATAATGGAAAGATGAACAAAGTGTGGTATATCCATATGATGGAATATTATTCAGCCATGAAAAGAAATGCAATACGATAACAATGCTTAAACGTGGATGAAACTTAAAAACATTGTGCCAAGTGAAAGAAGTCAGTCACAAAGGCCCACATATTTTACAATTCCATATACAAAACATCTAGAATGGCAAACATAGTGCCTGGGGCTGAGGGACTGAGGGACTAACTGCTAATAAGCAAGGCTTTTTTTTTTTTTTTTTTTTAATGGAACTGGGGATTGAAACCCAGGGCCTTGAGCATGCCAGGAAAGTGCTGGGATTAAGGCATGTGCCATCACATGCAGCAAATAAGGCTTTCGTTTTTGGGTGATGACAATATTCTAAAGCTGATCATAGCGATGGTTGTACAACTCTGTTAATGTTGAATTATACACTTTAAAATGGGTGAACTGTATATGAATTTTATCACAATATAACTTTTTTAAAAAGAATAAGCCAGAAGGCTGGGGTTGTGGCTAAGTGGTAGAGCACTCTCCAAGCATGTGCAAGGCCCTGGGTTCAATCCTTAGCAACACATAAAAATAAATAAAATAAAGATATTTTGTCCAAATACAACTAAAAAATAAATATTAAAAAAAAATAAGCCAGAACTGCATGTAGTAGCACAAACCTTTAATTCCAGATCGTCAGAAAGCTGAAGCAAGAGGATGATGGTAAATTCAAGGCCAGCTTAAGCAATTTTAGTGAGACTCTGTCTCAAAATTTAAAAAAAAAAGGGGGGGGGGCAAGGGATGTAACTCAAAGGTGGAGCACCACTGAGTTTGATCTCCAACACTACAAATATATATAAATGGGAAATATGCTTAAAAAAAGGCAAACTAAGAAAAAATTACAGGGATCCAAGCTACAGAGAACAGCAAAAAGAAATTCCAGAATAGATGTGAAAAGAGTACTCTGGATGAGAACTGGGTGTAGAGGGCAAAGTGTCCCCAGATTAGATTAGAACCAACAAGGGAGGTATCCAGGCAAAAGATGGAACCAAAGGTTTTGAGAATAGCCCAAAAAAACTCAATTAGTGACAGGGAAAATAATTAGTGATCTATGCATGTGATACCGGGGGGGGGGGGATGATGGGATGTGCAAGAATGGAAGCGAGAGCTGGAGTTGAAGTTGAAGTTCAGTGGTAGAGCACTTGCCTAGCATGTGTGAGGCACTGGGTTCAAGTCTCAGCAAGCATATAATAAAATAAAGGCCCACTGACAACTAAAAAAATAAATAAATAAATAAAAAAGAAAGGAAGAGATATAGTACCCTACTTGATTCAGCCGCGAATATTTGTTACATAATGCAAATGTTATTACTTTGACAATAATTACCGAGATGAGAGAAAGACAACTGTGAACTAAGTACTTATTTCCTATGGACAACTGTCAACAAAAAGTGTAAAATTAACAAATGGAGAAACATCACTATACTAATTTGCTCCTATACAGAAGAATGGCACATGGTGCTCTGTTTTATTACGAACTTCAATATTAATTTTTAAAACCGTATGTTACTTTGGAAAAAATGTAAAAACATCTTTTAAGTGTCTACAGTATTTTGCAGTTTCAAATAATTGAGAAAGGAATGATCCTACTGAGAAAAATGAGGAAATATAGATCTTCAGCCCAGAATAAATTTCCAGTACTTCCAAAAGGCTTCCCTAACCCCAAGTCTCATACTTTTATGGCACACACTTTCAAAAAGCACAGACTAGAATCAAGATAGCATTTATGGAGAAGGCACTCTGCGCCAGGCATTGTACTAAGTACTTTTCATAAATTACACACTTTAATACAACTACCTCGATAGGCGATTGCCATCTTCATTTCAGAGATGGAGGGCCCAACATCATTAGCTAAGGAGTGATGAAGCTAGCTAGTATTGGTACTGCAGTGCCTAACACCATCATTTAATAAATACACATCAACACGGACGTTTTCAAGACATCTGAACGGCCTCCGGAAAAAAATAAAAACCAAGCACCCACCTCTCACGGTGGGAATGGAATTATGGTTTGGATGGCACGTTAGCCCCATGGGGTTCAGAGAGGGTCCCCGAAGTCTATGTACACCAGCACCCCCGCCTTCAGATTCCTGCAAGCTAAGGAACCTCCCATGGGCTCCGGAACCAGCCCGGTGGAAAGACAAGGGGCCCCCAGAGTCAGCAACAACACAACAATTGCCAGAATCCGCGCAAGCCCAGCACAGAGGAAGGTTTTTGCTCTTCTCACAAACCAAAGCCGGTGCACAGGCAGCATCATGGACACTTCAAGAAGAGGAGGAAGCAAAGACTCCAACAGGGTCTAACAGGGCGCAACTCAGAGGCACTTGCTTCCTGGCAGAGCTCAAGGGCAGAGGCCAAGCCACTAAAAAAGCTGACCACGTACCTGAGTTCTCGGGCCTGGCGCTTAGAAGTCACGGCAACAGTGGGCGAATTCCTGGGCTCCCTAGGCCCGCTTAGCCCACGCCATTCTTTGCGCTTCGCGCGCTTCTGAACGCTAACCTAACGCGGGCCCCACCCGAGTTTCCACAGCTACCGCAGCGCACGCGCTGAAAACCCGCCCCATGCTGGAGTTCGCGCAGCCTCAGTCAGACGTTGACACGCCTCCCCAACAGCTGCCAAGACACTCCAGTCGTGCTATCTGCGCAGCCCTATGTATGTCTGTGTTCTTTGGAAACGTGCTTCTCTCTAAGCCGATTCTTATATACCCCTCTTAATGGAGTGGAGGTTTGGGTCAGTAGGCTATTGCGTTGGAAAGTCCTCTTTCCCCTACCTCCAGGCTCTTGGTTTTCCTGAATTCCCAGGAGTGCAAGCTGGAACCCGTAGAGTAGGACGGTTGTAGCAACCAGGATTTAGCGGGCAAGAGTCCTTGCAGCCCGAGAATTGGAATGATTTCAGGCTTTAAAAAAAAAAAAAAGCTGATCTCTTCTTATAACCCTTCTTTTACAAATGGAAAGCCGGGCTGGGTGGCACACATCTGTAGTCCCAGCGATTCGGAGGCTTGAGGCAGGATTGCAATTGGAGGTCAGACTTCGAAATTTATCAAGGCCCTAAGCAACTTAGCAAGAGTGTTTCAGAATTTTTTTCAGAAGGGCTGGGGTTATGGCTCAGCAGTTAAGTACCCCTGGGTTTAATCCTCAGTACTAAAAAAATTAAGATGTTAGGCTGGGTAGGTAGCTCAGTGGTAGAGTGCTTGCATACGCCCCTGCACCTCATATATACACCAAGTCCCAAAAGGTGTCTAAATTCTGCTAGTAATGGTCCAGTGAAAAATCCCTTACTAATGTCTTTCTCATCTTTAATCCGAGGAGATGCTTCTATAGCTGTGAAACTTTTCAAATCCTTTTTATAAAGAAAAATTGAGTAGGAATAAGCACATTTTGAAAAGCGTAATTTCAATCTTTTGAGACTTCTACTAAAGTTGATGATCTAGAAAACTCTTCACAGATACTCATAATTTCTAAGTTTCTAATATTTTCCTCCTCTACTGTTCTACAACTGCCAATTTCCTCAACTCACAACATTTGAGGTCCCTATGTCAAACTTTGAACCAATAATTTGACCCTAAATTCTTATATTTCATAAAGATCTAGAATAAATCATGTTTTACTTACTCTTTCAAAGAGATTTCCCATACTAATATTTGAAAATGCATATAAGTAGCCTGGCACATCGGTGCACATTTGCAATCGCAGTGACTCATAAGGCTGAGACAAGAGGATCACAAGTTCAAGACCAGCCTCTGTAACTCAGTGAGGCCCTCAGCAATTTAGTGAGACCCTGTCTCAAAAAATAAAAAGGGGTGTTGTATTACTTGCAAAAGATGGCACTTAATAATTACAAGTTATCATTCTTCCAAAGACTAATAAGCAAAAGCTACAATGAAAAAAAGATTAGCAAGCATCTAGCTTTTGCATGGCACAGAAGTTTATGGGTACACTTCCTTAGTAAAGTATTACTCTTATTCCTGCATAGTTATTGTCTTCTCCTTTTATGAGGACAAAGTCAACCAATAAGGAATCTCCACACTTAATGGCTCGCTTTTGTTACTTCTCAAACCACTCCC